ACGATCGAGTTACAACTCGCAAACGCATAGATAATGGAAAGAGAAGCATAAACTTACCTTGTATTGAGTATAACCCACGAAACCTGGTGCCTTTTCATCAAAAATAAGTTCCTCAACACGGCTACAAGAAGGAGAAAGAGAAACTAGCAAGCTGTCCGGACTTTTCAGCACTAGAATCGCGTCGTAAANGAATCGCGTCGTAACACCCGGAATACCCTAGGGTTTGTGTGGGATTTTTGGGGAGGAGTTGCAGGGGTTCAATTAGGTTTTATTGGTCTGAAAGATAGGTGAAATAACTGAGTTTATAATCCCTTAAAATTCCCCTCTTGACCGACTTAGTTGAGGCCTCTCTTTTTGGCAAGTAGGTGATGCACCTACTTGTCACCTACTAGCTGCGCGGTCTCGCGAAAATGCAAATATCTCTATACTCCGAGATCGTATTAATAAAAGGTTTAATGAGTTGAAAACTAGACTCATAGATCTTCAATTTAATATATAGATCATCCCTTGATTCAAAGTATGTTTGTAGAAAAGCTCAACTACATTTAACCTAAGTTTCAACTCATTTTTGAATGTAATTTGTGATGACCTTTTCCAACTTTTGTTCCACAACTTGCTTGACTTAAAAACATAACACACGGCTATCATATGACTAAAATAACTCATAACATAACCTCATCATCATGTTAATCACCCTTGTCTCACCCCAAAAGTATAGGTTATAACATTCCAAACTTGTCGACATTCGACGAAACTTATTTTCTTTAATTCATTTAGCGCCTAAGCTTTCAAACCCTTTTGGTACTCGTTATTCATGATCATAAAGATTTGTAACCTCCATTATAGAAGGATTAACTTACTTTATGTACTTTCAAAGTTGATCTCATTTCTGAGCTCACATCAATTGACTTACAGATACTCTAACATACGAAAACATAGGGTGTAACAGGGTGATTGTAGTTATGAAACTAAAGTGGATTGAGGAATTTGCATTCAAGTTATCATGTGATGTGTTAAAGTGCTTAGTAGCTTGAATCATTATTCCTAAATATATATGCTACCCACCCCTTAGCCCACATTACAGCCACGAAAAAATCCTAATTGATTTTAGACCGAGTGAGCCTGCTTTAGTGGAGATTTACTTTATGGGCAAGCTTATGGTACCAGTTGCATGGATGTGACTTCTTTCGTGAGAGTGAGAGATTTTCTTTGATATATGTGAGACCTTAATCTATATTTGATCATGATATTCGAATGTGTGAACTCAACTTACTCTATTTGCTTTTGTTGTGAGTGCACATGGTTTCGCGAGGGATAGGCAACATTATTAGACTTCTCTACGATGTTGAGTGTTCAAGCCATGAGTGCATTGTGACATTGAGTAGGTTTTGAGGCTAGGATTGTTATAAGCATGTTGTCTATGTTTGAATATTTTTGAAGTTTGCCATAAGAAAAAAAGGAAGTGTATGTGATTTCATATGCTAAAGTTTAATTGTTGCTATCAACCATAGTTATTGGTGTAGTGTGCTTCAAATGTTTAAATATAAAGTGCTAAAAATAATGCAAATTGCTTGCTTACTCGAAGACGAGCAAGATTTTAAGTGTGGGGTGATGATATTCGGCCAAAATTCATATATTTACCTATTGTTGCCTCACGTTCTAGTATTTTTAATCAACTTTTGAGTATTAATTATATTACTTTGTGCTAAATATTATATTTTAACTGTATAGGAATAAAGAAGTATGAAGATAAAGAGAATTGAAGTAAAATTGAATAAAATACGAAAGAAAAAGAAAGAAAATTAAAATAATAATAATAATAAGACAAAGGGGGACACACTTTGGTATTTCCCCCCAAGTGAAGGACAAGAAAAATGTAAATAAGCAACAATTAGAGAAGGCATATGGCGCTTAAAGAAAGAAAAACGTATACTTGTGTGCGTTTGACCGCAATAGTGCCTCTCTTAACCTTGTCCTTCATAGCTATGCCTTTGTACTCTTCTCCATTTTTAGCTAAAATTCAACCTCCAACAATCAAGTACAGCTTTTGCCTGCCCATTTCAAGCAAAATAAGACCTTCTCTCATCTATTTTGGCGTGTATCGATGACCAAGAGATGATCCTCCCATTTTTACACTACAAGACTTGTCGAATCTCTCCGCCTCAGTCAAGATCTTACCATTTCGTGAAAGAACTGAGTGAATCACGTGAATCCCTGCTACTATTCCAACATTCGGATTTGAATAGCTCTGTTTGACTTTGTTTGAAATCTGAAAGTTTTAATTCCCGCTCATGAAACCCTAAATCTTTGTTTTTGGCCTATAAATACCTCTCCAAGTCTCATCCGAAGGGCATTCTGGAATCTCCTCTAGAAAACCAAGTTTTATCATCCGAAAATTCCTCAACAAAGCTATTCATTTGACTATCATCTTTATAGGACCCTAGTGTTATTTTTTTTAATCTCTATTGGTTTCAATCTCATCAAAAGGGAGTGGATCTGAAGCCTCAAAGCTCAAGTTCACTGTCTCCAAAAAGGTTAGCTCTAAATCGAATTTCTATTGCTTCATTCGTTTTAAAATTTGTTGGGTTTGAGATGGTTAATTTTTAAGTCAGGATTTAGAGATACATGTCTAGACTTGTGATGTTAAGATCTACCTAAATTCTTTCATCATGTTTTCTAATTGTAATACGACAATGTTAGTGATTACGAGCTCGTTAAAATTCTTTTTCTTCCGTTTCTCTTTTATATTATAAGTTTCTGGAAATGTTATTGTCTTGTTGTCACAAACCTAAAACGGACCCGATCGTGATGGCGCCTATCGTGAAACTAGGTCAGCCGACACAAACCCCCAAAACCAACCAAACAATTATAATAAGTCATTTATAAGCTAAAATCCCAAAATGTAAGACAGAATAGAACAGTGCGGAAACAAAACACGGCCCGACATCGGGGTGTCACCAGTCATGTCTACAACTTGTCTAGGAATGTGAAAAGGCAACATATTCTGAAACAAAGCTAATGCAAAGCTAAATAAAGATAAGAAGGAGAAGCACTGGGCCGCGAACGCCAAGCAGCTACCTAGTCAACTCCGAAAGCCTGCTGAAAGCCAAATCAGCACTCGTTATCGCGACCCGAGGCTCCTAGATTTACACACAAGGTGCAGGGAGTAATGTGAGTATGCCAACACAGTAAATAATAAAAGTAAAGACAACTGAGCAGTAAGAAAACACATAAACCACAACATAACGCTACAACAAAATAGTATAAGTCCAAAATAATGCAGTAACGCAATAACACTCGTAAAAACATCTCAGTTCAGTAAAACCTTTTTTAAACAACATTCATTAGTTTCAACCGAGTGATGAAAACAGTGAGAAAAGAATAGAAATGTAAACAGCCCCTCGGGCAAATCATATACCACAAGCGCTCCTCGGGTAAAATATCAATAGAACCAGCCCCTTGCGCTACCTCACACTCACTCGTATCAGCCCCTCGGGCAATAACATGAAACAACAACAACCCCTTGGGCAACATCACATCTCACACTAAGTACCCCCGCTCACAGGGGGCGTGGAGACTCTTGGAGGGGCTCCTACAGCCCAAGCGCTCTAACAAGCCATCTCGTGGCATAATCAAACAGGTCCTCGGTCTCATAACAAGCCACCTTGAGGCATAAAAAATCAGGCCCTCGACCTCAAAATCATGAATCAGTACAACACTACTGCGGCGCGCAGCCGGACCCCATAATATCCTCACAACATAGGCCCTCGACCTTACTCAGTCAGAAATCTCTCAAGCCACTCGGGCAACAGTAAAACATGATGCTCAGCCCAAAATGTCATTTAAAATATCAAAACGAAGTAAATATGACTTAGTTATGAAAACAGTAGAATACAACATGATTGAGTACAAATGTGAAGTCAAAACAGTGAGGAATAGTAGTAAAAATCCCCTAAGGGTCCAAAATAGTTGGCACGAGGCCCAAATATGACATTCAGCCTAAAACATGATAATATGTTCCAAAACACAATGATATCAAACATTTTTCAACCAAATACGCGACTTAACAGTCATACGGGACGGACTAAGTCACAGTCCCCAACTGTGCACGACCCCACGCTCGTCATCTAGCGTGTGCATCACCTCAAAGTAGCACAACGATATGAAATTCGAGGTTTCATACACTCAGGACAACATTTACAATCATTACTTACCTCAATCGGGTCCAAACCCTAGCCTGCAATGCCTTTGCCTCTCGACTCGGCCTCTGGATGCTCCAAATCTAACCAAAAACAAATTTACACCATCAAAATATGCTAAGGGAACAAAGCTCACTCCAAAATAACCAATTAACACCAAAAATTCCGAAATTGGCCAAACTCGACTCACAGGCCCACGTCTCAGATTCCGATAAAATTCACAAAACTAGAGTCCTTACACTCTCACGAGGTCATGCGCACCAAATATACCAAAATCCGACCACAAATGACCGCTCAAAACCCTAGATTATGGTCACCAATTTCCAAGGCCTAAATTCCCAATTTTGCTACTAATTTCCATAGATTTCAAGCTTAAACAGTTAAAAACCATCATAGAATCAATTTTAGGGTCCAAAACCTTTACCTCCACGAAACCCTCTTGAATTCCCTCTTCAAATTGCTCTCCCAAACTCAAACTTGCATGTGAAAATGGTGGAATAACCGAAAATTCGCGAAGGACTTAATTTATATGTTCTGCCCCAGCTAAACCGCTTATGCGGTCAAAAATCTCGCACTTGCAGACCCGCACCTGCGGTCCTAGGTGCGCATCTGCGAAAGCCACTTATCCGCTCAAGGACAATTGCACTATCGCAGGTGCGCTCGAACCTCCGCATATGTGGTTCCAGATCCTCTCGCCCATTTCCGCATTTGCCACTGCTCATCCGCTTCTACGGTCCCGCACCTGCGATCCCCAAGCTACAGGTGCGGTTATGACAGGAACTTCAGCAGCTTCATCTGCAAATTTCCAACTCCAAATTCCCCGTCAACCATCCGAAATCACCCCGAGGCCCCCGGGACCTCAACCAACCACGCCAACAAGTCACATAACACTATTCAAACTTGTTCCAACCCTCGGAACACTCGAAACAATGCCAGAACACCAAATCACCCTCAGATTCAAGCCTATGAATTTCAAAACCTCGAAATTCCGCTTTCTATCAAAAAATCTATCAAACCTCATCCGAATGACCTGAAATTTTGCACACACGTCACATATGACACAACGGACCTATTGCAACTTCCGGAATTCCACTCTGACCCTTATATCAAAATCTCCGCTACCAACCGGAAAGATGCCAAAATTCCAATTTCGCCAATTCAAACCTAAATCTACTACAGACCTCCAAAACACATTCCCATCACGCTCCTAAGTTCCAAATCACCTCACGGAGCTATCCGAATAATCGAAATTCACATCCAAGACCTTTTTCACATAAGTCAACATCCGGTTGACTTTTTCAACTTAAGCTTACTCAGAAAAGACTAAATGTCTCAAACCTTTCGAAAATCATTCCGAATTCCAACCGACCAACCCGATACCGTATAACACAGATGAACAAAGCATAAAGAAGCAGAAAAAGGGGGGAAACGGAGCGGTAATTCCTGAAACGACCAGCCGGATCGTTACACTTGTTGATGCTTTATTCTCACATAGGAGTAGATTATAAATGTATTGATGATTAATATGCTATATATCGAATTTATGATCTAGTAAAGTATTTTCTCATAGCTTTGCCGAATTTCTTCTTTAACTAAATGAGTAGTTCTAAGGTTATTTGTCTAAGTTTTAAAACACCAGGTTTGAACTTTAGGTTTCTTATTTTGCCGAGTCATATATCATAAATTAGTGATGAAGTTAAATGAAATTGGGTTAAGTCTTCTCTCTGGTTCCCTTCAGTTGCAATATAAATTTGTACACTTCCATAAATTAATGATGTTACTTTATGCTTAGATATCATGATGTTAGGAATTATTTTATTCATGTCTATTGAAAAAAAACCATGTAGGAAGATTTAACGGTATGTTCATAATGTTAAATCTCAAGTTCAAATTACGCTGCTTTGATTTATGTGGAAAATGGCTACTGTTTCTATCCTTTATATTTAGATTATGTCTCTCACATACTACCTGCTTGTGTGAATATCCCATAATATGTATGAATGGTGTCCCATTTGTTTGTAATAAGTAGTTTATTGGTTTAGTTTTGCACTATTTGGTTGAGCAAATGTATGTATGTTTACTTGGATACATTTGAATTATTTTGGAGGCACACTAAGAACGATGAGTTTCTCTGTCCTTCATTAAATAGCATATATGATTTTATTCTATGAGTATCTCTAACCTCTTCCTTTACTTTATTTTCTTTGTTTCGTATGAACAGCGGAGCCGAAGAGTCCCTTTTTGAGACTCGACGATGCCGCGCCAACCATGGAGTCAACATCCGTCTCACATTCTCATTATTGCTTGAGATAGCCGCAAGAAAATTATCCCTTTGGGATGCTGGCAGAAGAGCCAGTCAATCACTCTTTTGAATTTCCATATTGCTCGTTTCCTTTTTCTTTGTGTTTCCTGATTGTTCCTCTAAATATGTGGCTTGTTGGGACCTTATTTGATATATGATACTTTATAATAATCATAGTTTTATCACATAGCAATATATAACCAAAGTAAGAAAACTTTAAATCAACACTCTGATTATTTCTTCACTCTTTTACCTATTTGCTATTATGGCTTAACGTGATGACTTAGAACAATAATTTGGTTTCAAATAGTTGGTTGGGGAGAATTTTATAATGTTGTCAAAATAGGCCATCTCAACTAATTCAGAAGTCAATCACAAAGAGACTCAAATATTTTAAATATTGTTTTAAACTAATCGAGTCTGACACGTTTTTGTTAAGCTTAGTTTAACTATAAAAATGGTTTTGCTCCGCATTATCCTCGTACGTTGAGGTCCAACTGTTTGAGAAATGAATCGGTCCATTTCAAGATAATTTTTTCTCTGAATCGAATTATTTTTTTTTTATTAATTTATTAATTATATTATACATGTACAATTAGCCTTAATTGAGTTTTAGTCCGAATGATAAACCATTTTAATATGGATTTTAAACAATGCCTTACACCTTCTCTTTAAGATTAAATAAACCCTCACCTAGAATCTCTAAAGTTTAGTAGACCATATATAGAGTTAATAAAATTGGTGTCCTAATTCACCTTTAATATAATTATGTGGCGACTCATTAACTACAATAGAATTTGGAATTACCAATATGTTGTATCTTAGTTTAATATGGGGTATAACATGGTGCACTCTAAAATAGTACAACTACATATGAGTACTACAAAGATAGGCACTAGACACCTGGAAGGGATAATTATTACCTTAGTATGACTCCCATCCCCAGTAAAGAGAGAATGTTAGGCAACCCAAAAAGCCAATGAAGGGAGCAAGGGGAGCTAAAAGCAAAACAATGTCTTGTTGGAGTTTTCAGAATAAAGTGATAGACATAAATGTTAGCAGGGAAATAAGAAGAGAGTTAATAAAGCATTATGAGTAAGATGTGATACATGGATGACAACTGTAGATTAAAAAAATGAAAAAAATAAAAATATCACAGAGTCTATAGTCAAGTGAAGGAAAAGACGATAAGTGATAGGCCTTGAGACAACAAAAGAGCATATGCCATAAAATCATATCCTCATTTCGAGAAACAAGTTCATGACTCTAACATGATTACCAAAAAGAATAGTTAGACCCCTAGAGTAATAGAAATCAGTATGAACTGGGGAACAACATAAACTAAACATGAATTATAGATTGAGTGATTTGATAATAGTCGGTATCATGAGAAACTCAGCGATTGCATTCCGACGATAATAGAATGGATGACAGAAGAATAACCTCTAAATGTCATTCAGGAAGACGTTTCCCCAAAGCAAGCAGTCTGAGCAAAGTTAAGGTTAAGGGACCGTGTGTGACAGTTGCACTAAGTGTCACCCTCTCAAGTAAGGAATTTTGTTATCCTTGTGTCACGACCCAAAATCCCAACCCGGTCGTGATGGCGCCTCTCGTGAGGACAAGGCCAGCCAATCAACAAAACAGTACATCTCTTTATAATTACTTAGCAGGAATAAGTCTAAATCATGGGCAATATAATCTTAAATGCAAAATAAATGTGATAGAACAAGGAAAACCATCCCAACTCAGCCCGAAATCGGGGTGTCACAAGTCATGAGCTACTACAGAGTTTACTAATATTTTACAAAGTCTGGAATTATCATAAATAACAAAGATAAGGGAGAAAACGGGGCTGC